ATGAAGAAAGAAATGGAAGAAAGGAAAGAAGGAGGGAGGGAGGGAGAAAGAGAGGAAGGAGAGGATAATGAAGGGGAGAGAAATGGAAGGAAGGAAAGAAAGGAAAGAAAGAACAGAAAGAAAGGAAAGAAAGAAGGAAAGAAAGAAAAGAAAGAAGGGGAAGAGAAGGGAAGGAGAGGAATGGAATTAAACTAAAATAAATAAATGGAAGACTATACAGTAGTCTTTAAATCCTTCAACCGGAGCTGACAGGAAGGGTCCCCAGCTCGCACTCACAGCTGGGTGATCTTTTCCCAGGGTCTTTTCCCGGATAGCCAAAGCGTCATTGAGAAGGTGGGCGGCTTCCTTGTATTTATTCTGGTCTCTGGTGGGAAAGAAAACACGGATTAGCGTCTTTGGTTCACGACCTGAAGGAAGGAAGCGGGTGCTGGCTGGGGAATTCTGGGAGCTGAAGTCCAGAAAAATGTTACTGTCTTTGGAGACCAAGTCTCGAGCCAAACTTCCAAAACTTAAAAAAGGATTTATTGAGAGTCAACTTGCCGGCACTGCCTGGGTGTAGCTGACTCTGAGGCACATCCTTCACTGCCACCCTTGACCCTGGTTTTCTCCCCCACCCCCTGGGTGTATCCTAATTCATATTCTCCAATGGGACACCTCCATAGCCCAGAGTCATCCATCACATTCTCCAGTTAGATGTTTGCTGGGGGCAGAAACTTCAGTCGTCTTAGTTACTCTCTATTATGGAAAAACTATTTATGGAATGCGCTTTCGGTTTGCAAGCTGCTGCACTGCTCCTCCCTCCCTTTCTGTTGGCAAGCTTCAAAAGACGAGAGAAATATTTTATGAGTTCACACACACACACACACACTGACTTCCACACCTGTACACCAGGGCGAGGATATTCAGCATTGTCGCCACATCGGGGTGATCGTGGCCCGAGGTTTTCTCAAGGTCCTCCAAAGCTTGCTTGCAGAGCGGGACGGCCACTTCATAGCGCCCCTGGGAAGCGTACTGGATCACCAGATTGTGCAAGGTCCGTAGACGGGCCGGGATCTCGTAGCCGCCCTGCTGGGCTGCCGACTCTCCGCTGTGGTGGGTTGGCCCTGCAAGAGGACAGAGATCGCGGATTCACCAGCTGGAAGTGTCTTTCCCGAAGAAATAACAGGTGGCCCTCGACTTATAAAAGCATAAAACAATAGCGGCTTAGGATTGTATTTGCTAAAAACTGGAAAAATAAGAAAATACCATCACAGGAGGAAATCATTAAGAAAATATGTGCTGAAATGAGTAGGTTGACATTTGAAATTAGAGAACAAGAGGATAAACAATTTTATAAAATTTGGGATCTTTTCTATCAATGGTTAGATAATAAAGTACAGTAATGAAATATGTAGATTTTTAGAAAATAATAAATATATAAAGATGTATTTTTTGTTTAAATTATAACTACAAAATGATTTTAGGATAGATTTGGAGTGATAATATGAACTGTTATACAATAAATTAAGTCAATTATGGTTATCTTGTAAAACAGGAATGAATAAAAGTATAGTCAAATGATTAATAACGATACTAAGGTATTTAGTTTTTGATTGACAATATGAGATTATATGTAATGTAACTGTAATTGAAGACTACGAAATGGAAGCACAAAACCATTCGTAAACCAACCGGCACACTGTATGTACACCTATGGAAGACAGCTTGATGTTTTTATGTTTTGTTTGTTTATGTTTGTTTTTAAAAACCAATAAAATCTTAATTTAAAAAAAAAGCACAAAACAATAGAATAACAGAATTGGAAGGGACCTTGGAGGTCTTCTAGTCCAACCCCCTGTTCAAGCAGAAGACCTTCTACCATTCTGGGAAAATGGTTGTCCGGTCTCTTCTTAAAAACCTCCCGTGTTGGAGCACGCACGATTTCTGGAGGCAAGTAGTTCCACTGGTTAATGGTTTGAACTTTCAGGAAGTTTCTCCTTAATTCCAAGTTGCTTCTCACCTGGATGGAGTTCCCATCTGTTGCTTCTTGTCCTGCCTTCAAAGTGCTTTGGAGAATAGCTTGACACCTTCTTCTTTTAAGGCATGAAATATTGCTATCCTGTCACCCCTGGTCCTTCTGATCATGAAATCAGACGTGCCTGATCTCTGCTTTGTATGTTTTGGCCTCCAGCCCCCTAATCATCCTTCTTGTCTCGCTTAACGGCTGCTGCTCTGCTTAACCGTGAATTGAGAGCCTTCTGAGGCTTACCTTGACCCTGGTCATCGTCGTTAGGAAATAGATCGTCCAAGGTATCTTTCGCCGCCTCGCCACTTTTCTCATCCTGGGCAAAAAAAAAAAAAAGGAAGGAATTTTTTTAAAAAAAAACTGGCATTCACTTTCAAGGGAGTAGGAAAAAGACAGACCTCCTTATTCCCACTCTCAGAATAACAGAGTTGGAAGGGGCCTTAGAGGTCTTCTAGTCCAACCCTCTTGTTCAAGTAGGAGATACTAGACCATTTCAGACAAAATGGCTGTCCAGTCTCTTTTGAAGAAACCTCCACTGTTGGAACGTCTGGTGGCAAGCAGTTCCACTGGTTAATTGTTCTAAATTTCAATAAATTCCTCCTTAATTTCTAGATTGCTTCTCTCCTTGATTAATTTCCATCCGTTGCTTCTCGTCCTGCCTTTGGGTGCTTTGGAGAATAAGCTGACCCCCCTCTTCTTGGGGGCAGCCCCTCAAATATTTAAACACTGCTACGGTGTCCCCCCTAATCCTTCTTTTCATTAGAAGGACTAAGAGTCGATACGGGAGCATCTCGACCCAACGCTTTTCCCTCTTGGCCTGGGTTCAAGGCTGACCTGGCAGAGCCAGGAGGAGGCCACCTGCTCTGAACAGGTAGGTTAAAAAAGGTGGGGAGAGAAACCACCTACCGAAGGGGAGACGTCCTCGTCGAACTTTTTCATCTGGTTCATGAATTCCAGGTGTTTCTTGTCCTCTTCCAGCTGAGCCACCGACTGCTCGCTCCGCTGCAGTTTGTGCTGGGTGGCGGCCAACTCGTCCCGCAGCCACTGGTTTTCCTGCACCAGGCGCCGCACCTGAGCTCTGAGCTTCTGCTTCTCCGATTCCACGGCGCTCAGGTGGCTGGAGAGGGCGATGATCACCTGGCGCCAGGAACGACGACAACAAAAACAAAAAACAAAAACCCAGATTCATCGATCTTGTTTGAACGGGACTCCGGCCAGGATTCTGCTTGCAAAGTATGTGTGTGTGT